CCTTCCAGCACCTTCCAGTGCTGAAAGGGGGCTACAGGAGAGATGGGGGGGCTCTGGATCAGGGGGTGCAGGGACAGGACGAGGGGGAACGGTTTGAAGCTGAGAGAGGGGAGATTGAGCTGAGATATTGGGAAGAAATGTTTTCCTGTGCAGGGGGTGAGGCAGTGGCCCAGGGTGCCCAGAGAAGCTGTGGATGCCCCATCCCTGGAGGGGTTCAAGGCCAGGCTGGATGAGGCTTTGGGCAACCTGGGCTAGTGGGAGGTGTCCCTGCCCATGGCAGGGAGGGAGACTGGATGGGCTTGAAAGTCCCTTCCAACCCAAACCATCCTGGGATTCGATGATGACTCTATGATTTCTCTTTCAGTGGCTTCTCCATCCACAGCAGATCAATCCTCATTTCCATCCAGCTACCGTATTTTCCTGCTGTGACAGAGAAGACCAAAGACAGGAGCCATGCAGCAGACTGCAAAGTTTTGGGGCTGTAACACCTCCTAAAATGACTCTGGAGTGCCTGAACATCCTTCCAGAGGAGCAATCACAGTGACATAAACAAGCAGAAGGGAGTTAAGGAAACTGCCATTGTGTACCATTAGTGTTTTTTTCCTGTTTATATTCGAGCTCGTGAAAGGTGCCCCATGTGTGTCAGTGTACTGTAATGCTGGGCACCCACTAACAACAAATAAATAACTGTCCAGTAAAGAAGAAAGGACTGAAATTGTTTTTAAGACAAATATAGTGTCCAGTGGATTTACTATTTCAAAATACCTGCTGATTGAAGATACTCATAAATATATACCCAGATAGCTCAGAATAAATCTTATTTAAAGGAAAAAAACTTGCTGGAGCAAAAATGAAACTCCCTGATGATTATATTTTTCCTATTCAACAGGACACTACTCAGCCAACTGCAAAAAACAACTATAACACATTTTTTTGATGGCAATAACAGCATAAACACAGGCGTATTTCAGACAGCAGAGAAAAGAGAGAAATATATGCTGCCTTCCAATGCAGAGCAATATTTTGATGTAAGGCATCCAGTGACTTGACAAACATTTGGAAATGTATCAAATAATAGAAACTTGTATACTGGGAGCTCGTGAAAAAAATCTCAAATGTCCATTAAGCTTAAAGTTAATATATCTAAAATATAGGTGGCTAGTGAATTATGATCCTACTCCTACACGGTGGACTGTGATATTTCCCTCGTTCACATATTAAGTAGACTTGCAAATACTTGGAGAGACTCTCACTTAAGCCCAACTTCTGGTAGCACCTGAAATGTTTTGCTTTATAAATAATTTGTTACTTCATCACTCTTGCCAGTACAAAGCCCCACTTCCATCACACACCACAGAGCTTGAGCAACCATCAGTTTCAACCACGCCATCGGATGCCCGGGTGCTCCCCGGACAGAAAAAAAATCAACCTGGTGAAGATCGCTTACCGGGAGGTGTGTGAACACGGCAAACGTGCTACGTAGAAAGCCAATGAGATCTACAAGGTAGTCGCTGGCCTTGCTGCCCGGCTCCATGGCCATCCAGTCGTAGTCCGCCAGTTGCAAGAACTGGTCTATCTTCTGGTTGAGGTTAGTGTAAATCTCCTCCTCGGCAGCATGGCGGGCGTCCTGGGAACAAGACCACATTACGTGGGATGGAGTCTCCATACCACGCGAGCTTGACCCAAGCTTTAGCCCTAAAAGTAGAACAAGACAAAGCACCCACAGGCAGCTACAGGGCTGCAGCAGCCTCAGGTTAGCTCAGTGGTGGGTGCTACCAGGTCAGTGGTAGGGAAGCTGGTGCCTGCCTCTGATGCAACCCGGGAACCAGGAGGACAAACCTTTTGGAGGATGGTAGAGAGAGATAAGAGAGGAACGTCCCATGTGGAAAAAAGTTGAGGTCCACTAAACTGTGTGCAGCTGGAGATTCTCTGCCAGAACAAGGGTAGGAACACTCATCCTTAGGCCAGATAGATGACTCAAGAAGAGACAACGAACGGACCTCCCTGGGGACATGGGGCCTTAGTCTCCTGATGAGTTATCCCAAGGGCAAACCTCACCTAACCAATTCGTTACCATCGCTGGAGTCCTCCATGCTGCTCCCATGTCCTGCCCTCTGGCCATGGGACACAATTTGGACACCCCACAGTTGACCCAATTATAGCCTTCAGACTTTATATAAAGTATCTGGGTCAATGCTCCTGGGTTATGATCTAAAGGTTGGGAAATCTAGCAGTTTCTGCCAGCCCTGATTTTTAGGGGATAACGCTAAAAGGAGTGGAAAGATATACAAATGTAAGTTCTGAAAAATCTGTTCTCCTCTTGGGTGAAAGAGAAGACCTTGCATTCATGGCCAGACATGTGCAAGTCAAATTGAAAATTCATTGAAAAAAATAAAACCAGGCTTTTTTTAAAAAAAAGCTGCTTAATCCTTTAGATAATAAGTGCTGCAGTCACAGTCTGTAAATTAGGGCTACAAAGGCTCACGAACTCAACAGAAGTAACGCTCTGAAGGACAAATTCAAAAACTAGTCTGATGGCGTGAGTCTCCCAGGATATGACAAAACTACCCATCAGCTCAGCTTAGCTCCCTCCCTACATACACACATCCACACACACGCTTTTACGGGAGATACGCTCCAACCGAACATCAAGAGCAGCTCCCCGGAGGTGGATCTACCAGCCTTCTCACCTTGAAGGTCGTGGTCCCATAGAGTTTCGTAGTGTGGACAGTTTCTGGAAGTACATTAGTGATATTGGTTATGAATTCCTCCAGGAACTTGCAGGATTTCTCCAAGTGGGTCGTATTTATAATAATCTGTACAAGCTGCAAAGGCAAAAAAAGATATTGAAAGATGGTGCTCCTGAAGCCAGGGACGCGCCAGGTTCACGGATGCCAATTTATATGAGCTTCTGGCACGAAAAGTTAATGCTGTACAAACACGCTAAGCTTTGCTACACACTCAAAGGCTTTTCCTCCTTTAACAACATCAGAAACTTAAATAAAAGATAATTTTGGGGGAAAAGCATTTCCCATGACAGCCACTAATACAACAAAAGATATATTTTTTTGTAATTACTTTCCTACATTCAGCTGTCACTCAGGGCTCATTTCAGCATAGTTCAAATACAACAGGCTTACAAGAAAATGCCACGTCAAATCACAAATACTCTGTCTGCTACTGAACGCTAAATAACCCGTATCTTGAGTGACACCAGACAATATCACACTAAGGCATTTAACAAAGAAACCACGAGGTTTGACTTTTCTGAGGGTGGTGTAGGTGAACAGCAGACCTCACCCTGGTATCTTTTGGGTTATCATACCCACCATTATCTGCAATTTTCTCAATGCTGTCTTCTCAGCTGCCTTCATGTGGATGCCCCATCCCTGGAGGGGTTCAAGGCCAGGCTGGATGAGGCTTTGAGCAACCTGGGCTGGTGGGAGGTGTCCCTGCCCATGGCAGGGGGTGGCACTGGATGGGCTTGGAGGTCCCTTCCAACCCAAACCATCCTGGGATTCTATGACATGACACTATTTTGGGACATTAAAGGCAACTCCAGAGTAAAAGCTTCTGCTGAAGTTAACCAACAGAAACATTTTCAATCCTGAGCAAACCAATCCAGGCTTCCACGTTAGGATCATGAATTCCTTAAGCAGATACCTTTTTTCCAAGCAGACTGCTGTGAATATTTTCCCGGTGCAACATAAGCTATAACAAAACCTTTCCAAACAACCTCTAGCTCCAGTATCATGGCAAAACAGTTCTCTTACAGACACGGAAGACATTACAACGCTCTGGATTGACATAATGTAATTGCTGGAGTATGGTGTGGTGGTCCACAGTCACCTCCTCTAAAGAAATTATTTTGAAACCCTCGCAAATCTTCTGAATGAGACGGATTAATCACCAATTTGAGTGTTGCAGGTGATGAAATATTGAAGTAACACTAAAAAGATTATAGTACCCAACTCTTGCTAGTGCCAGAGGACACGAGAAGGGGCAATGGTCACAGCTTGGGAGGTTCATCTTGGATATCAGGAAGGAAGAGAGTCATTAGGAAGGTAGAGCAGAAGTGGAACAGGGTGCCCAGAGAAGCCGTGGGACCTATGTTTTGGAGAAATTAAAACTTGGGTAGACAAAGCAATGGTTGACGTGATCCGAGTAATAATAATCCCACTGAGAGGTTGGGCTAGACATATCCAGAGGTCCCTTCCAGCCAGCACTTCTGTGATTTCAGTCAGGTTTTTGCTTTTAAGAAACCAATTACAAGCTATTTGAACTCCTCTTGTTTTGTACTTGGTCCCTGAAATGTATTACACAGGTAACGAGGGGGGCTTCTCATTTCTCTTCTCATTCTCTTCCTGATTTTTGCCTCCAAACAAGCGCTCATTTGTTTGCTCTTCTCTGTGTCAGATAGCCCTGACATCACCATCGTGACATATTTTCGCACAGTTTCAAGTTAATTAAATATTAGATATTTCCAACTGTGTGAAATTCCTCCTAAACCTCTTCTCCGATCACCACAACTTACTGGTCCAGATCAGCTATCGAACTTGAAGACCCTGATTGCTTTGATTCTCTTCTACCACTTGCTAAGAGCTTTCCTGCTCCCTCTCTGGATCCTTCAAATTCTGATCTTCTCTTGAATTCAGAGGGGTAAGACTTTCTTGCTGGGGTGAGACCTTCTTGTTGGGATATTCAAATGGAAAAAAAAAAACCAGTAGCGTCTTTTCCCTCTCTTTTGCTGAGGGATATCAGAATTATTCAAAACACCAGAATTATTTGCAGCAGACTTCGTAGCAAATGTCAACATCCACTGCCCAGAGGTAGCCCCCCCAAAAAAGCAATGAAAAAATAAACTAAAGAGGATAACAGACCGGGAAAAGTTGGTATACAGCCTTGAATTACTTTGTCCACTGCTTGGAAAATGCCATTGGAGAGCCTAGAAATGGACAGTGTTGCTTTATGCAAAAATTAAATCTGGGAAGTGAGAGTTATGCAACGTTCTTAAATACCTTCTGCGATCACTTTTGACACCAGGACCATGCTTGTATGTGACCTGGGACTTTTCAAAGTGTCCTTTAATTCCTGTGCTCCACACAATCTCATCGATGTCTTTTCTTAAGAGGGAAGGATTTGAGAAACACAGAAGAAAAATGCTGCGTGCTTCCATTTGGACAACCAACTCAACGGTTACACAAGGAAAAGAGGCAGGAGGGGATGAAGATGCCCAAAGCAGTTTTTCTTCAACCAAATTAGAGAAAACTGATGGTAGAGATAACCTCAGGGGAGAGCTAGTTGTACCTTGGTAAGCGGTAAGGAGCAAGAGGGTGAAGACAGAAGAAGAGATTCAGAGATGAACACCGGTCTCTGGACATACTACAACTTTATTTTAAACTCATGTCATGCTACGTAAGCGTTCCTCAAAAAAATCCTCTTCAGCTCCAAAGCATGGGAAGAAGCGACTCTCGGCCCAAAGGCATCATCTTTGCTCAACGTGGAAGATGCCAAGGAACATCTACACCACCTAAACTGGGCAAAAAGTGGCCAAAGGGACTGTTGTATTCCATTTGCCTTTCCTACGCTCCATCATACTGTGGGAACGTTTGCAACAGCAGCAATAAAGATCACTGGGGGGATGGAGAGTGCAGGGATAGGGTTGCATTCCTCTTTGCGGAGAGAGCCTTGAAAGGAGCAGGAGGGACGAGGAATTTGCCTCCAGGGAGCAGAGAGATTCCAGCCTGAGAGATAAAGGGCTGAGGAAGCATGGTGTGTAAATACATACCGCTGTAAATGCACTAAACTCTCCAAAACTCACTTCCACGGGGTATTTACAGTGTCCAGAGAACAGGAGACATCAACAGTCAATTAAACAACCGCAGCTGTACTAATACCAACTCATTGAATAACAGCACACAGAGGTCCCACTGAGCTATCCAAACCACCCTGGGTACCACACATGTTCCCAAACAGGCACAATCTAGGTGCATTCAATTTTTTTGAAATCTGACTTTGTGCACAAAACAGTATCGATTGCAAAAAAAAATAAATACCAACATAGAGTTTGTACTGTAGCAACGTGCTGAAACCACCTCAAGCATCTCCTACAGATGGGAACCACTCCCCATCCACTCATAGCTCCCACCCGGCTCTTTTTTGGTGCTCTGTGAAATCCTCTTTCTTTAATTCAGGCATATAATGGTCCATAAATTCAAAAGAACGGTCATGCTAACAGCAACAGCAAAAACCCTTCCTCTTTCCCACAATATAAACTGTTTCTTGCTTTGTACAGCAACACTGCCTGGTTCCATCATTGTTTTCCAACCAAATATTTTATAATATTCCAAAACAGCATCTCTAACGGTGCTGTAAGGAGTTCCAAGGGACCAAACCCCTTCTGTCACCCTGCCCTGGAAATGGGTCCCCTCGAAGCCACGTCCTACCTCCGTCAGCCCAACATTTTTCCTCTTGATGACATTCTGTAAACAGTTGCTCAGCGTCCGGGTCAGCAGCAGATTTGTCGATTTTCTGATCATATCATCAACTTCGGTGGAGCTGAAAAGTAGAATTTAACAAGAGATTTGCAAAAAGTTATATGAAAAGAAAAATCACCTGGAGCCCTCATCACCCAGACTCCTTCCCAACCCTCTTCTGCCTCATGCAGGATCATCCGTGCACTGCTTACAGGCGCTGGCATACTAATATTTACCAAAGTAGCAACAATTTAGGCATTTTTGTGCATGTGTCGGTAAAGAAGGGAGACTAACGCATCTGAAACCTCCATCCCTGAGCCTCTCCTCTTAGAAGGGCTGCTCCAGGGGGTAAGAGCTGCTGGCAGCATCGGCACTAACCCCTGCAGCCAAGCCACTGCCCTGCACACAAATCTGGACTTTTGCATGTTCAGTACGCAAGGGGAAAGGGATTAAAGACCTTCAATAGGGGGAAAAAACCAAATCACACCCCCAAAAATAACCCCTCCAGCCTTCTCGTGGCTTTTTCTTTAACTAAATGAGACTGGAAGATCTTGCAACACGTTCATGCCCTTTGCCAGATGGTTGCAACTCCAGCATTGGGGGTTTTGCCTTCTGCTGAAGTGCTTCTGTCCCTCCAATGTGCACACCAGCAAGGTGCAACCCCTCCCTTCTGAAGGAGGTTTTGGAAACCCACCCGAGGACAGGTTCCTTTGATCTGTCCTTGGCCCTGCATTAGCCCTGACACCACAGGGCTTTATCCATGGCAGCGCAGGGATGGGCAGCCGAGGGCAAAGAAAATGTTCACAGAATCACAGAATGGTTTGGGTTGGAAGGCACCTTCAAGGTCATTGAGTTCCAACCCCCCTGCCATGGGCAGGGACACCTCCCACTAGCCCAGGCTGCTCAAAGGTTTCAGTTGCTCCAGGTTTCAACTGGAAGGTTGAGAAGGGTTAATGACTTCAAAGCTCCCAGTAAATCAAGCCCGTGACCTTATTCTCCATCTCGTTTTACCTGACAAACGGGCTGGATTACAAAGCTGGGATGGACAGGGGAAGCAAAAGCAAACCTTGCAGTAACCCCACCGTTGGTGCGCAAGGTGGGGGATCTCGGGATGCTGCTATTGGGGTGCAGGGATGGGTGCTGTCAGCCCTTGTTCAGCTCACATCACCCCAGTTTCTGTGTCTATTTAACGTTAGAGCAGATGTCCTGAGCCAAGCCCTGGCCCATCAGCACCATCAGCTTGGGAAAGCAAGACTGAGTCCCCTCCAACACCAACAGCAGCATCCCCCGAACCAGCCCATCCTCCCCGAGCACCGCGCATCCCTCAGCCAACCCCATTTTTCAGGACATTCAGGATTATCCTTCTACCGCTGCACAAGAATTCCACTGAAAATCCCCAAATTCCTGGGAGAAGTGGCAAATATCGCTCCCCACTCGCATCCCTAAGCAAAGTCCTGCTTGTATTTCCAGGAGGCCAAGCGAGCCGTGTCTCGCTGCAGTTTCCCAAGGACAAACTCAGCTGCACGGCTCCCCGCACACCAGCAGCTGCTCGCCACGCTGCGCTCCCCAACAGATTTCTCTAATATTTCCTTTTCCCTGATGTTCAGAAGTCTGCTTTGCTGAGAAACGCGCCTGCCAAGGGTTGACCACTGTCTCCTTCCCAGCCGGACGCGAGCAGAGCAGGGCCAGCAGCACAGCCGGGACCCAGCTCCTGATCGTTTAAATTCAATGCCACAAGCCAAAGTCTTAGCGTGGGTCTCTTATAGATCATCACCGCTGATTCCTCTGAGTTTATTTTCCTCCTGCTTCGTGGGGAAGCACATCCTGTGTCAGCATCAGGACCAGCCCACTCCGCATCCCAGATGGAGCCTTGGCTCCTTCTCGCAGGGTTTTGATGCGAGGTCCAAGGTGGTACGTTTGGGTTTTTAAAAATGTGGAACAAAAAACAAAATGTGGGGGGAGAAGAAACCAGTCAATGAATTTTCCTTCTCTTTATACTATGGCTGAGGCTCTCAAATAAGGTTTTACTTAAAGACAAACAAAAAAACCCACAAAAAGCCACCACATATGCATGCACACACACCCCCAGGCTCTCCATCATCCCCCAGGAAGAACCAGATTGTCCCCAGTCCTGCCCACCAGCAAACAGCATGGTTAAATATAGTCAATACAATAAAATCTAACCCTGTGATGATCTACAGATGGCAAAAAAAAGAGATTTACAGCAAAGGGGTGGTACAAAGGAACCCCACAACCCTGGGGGCAGATGCCTGCTGCTGCTGGAGCAGCGTGGGAACCGGGGAGCAAAAAGGGAGCAACCTGTCATCAGGGTGTCGAAATAAAACAAGCCAGTTACTGTCTGCCTGCGTGTACGCCCCGAGACAGTCATGCTCTTGGCAGGAGTGGGATGCTGCTGGACTCTGCCCGATGCCTCAGCCAGTACTGACGGCACGAGGCTGCCACATAGAATCATAGAATGGTTTGGGTTGGAAGGGACCTTCAAGCCCACCCAGTGCCACCCCCTGCCATGGGCAGGGACACCTCCCACCAGCCCAGGTTGCCCAAAGCCTCATCCAGCCTGGCCTTGAACCCCTCCAGGGATGGGGCATCCACAGCTTCTCTGGGCAACCTCACCACCCGCCTGGCAAGGGTCAAGCAGCCTGGCAACCGCTGTGGTTGGGCTCCACAGGATCAGAAGGATCTGTGACATCTCCCATGCGTTCCATACCCTGAAAAAAACCACTGAAGCATTCCTTGGGAAAAAGAAAAAAAAAAAAAAAGAAGAGCAGGACTTGATAACTGGTATGTGA